TGGTCTCAAACTCTCGGGCTCAAGCAATCCACCGATCTCTGCCTCCCAAAGTGCTGAGATTACAGGCATGAGCCACCACGCCCGACTGAACCTTTCTAAAGGGCTGCTTGCTTTTGGTCTATAGACCCGAGTCTATAATCCTCAGTAAGATTTCTGATTACAACTTTTCTCTAGTAAACATGCCTAAAACTTGGAAACAATCTTTTCTGAAGTGACTCTTCTGTTCTCATGTTGGTCTTTGAAAAAGTCTCTTCTTGCCTACTTAGGTAATGTAACACTGTATATATAATACAAAACATTTTCAGACTTTGTCCTGTATTCCCAGACCTCACCACTCCGCCTCCTGACATACCTCCAAGAAGCCATCATAATGTATTCTTCATTGCTGCATTCTAAGGTATAGAGCTATTTTAAGGTGGCCAGGCATCATATATCTCCTGCGGAATTGAGCTCTATTTTCTGTTGCTGTCCCTGTATTTGCCCCTGCCTCCTCTCCTCCCTCATTTCACTTAGTAACAATCTCAACCTAATAGCCAGTCCCACATCCTTCAAACTGATATCTGGCAAAAAACATCATGGGGTAAACAATGGAAAGACATATAAATCAGCTTTAAGGTTAGACACTTTCGATCCTTTAGGGTTTGAAGCAAGGCTGGTGACATATACAAACCTTTTCATAAATCATGATTATCCGCAATGCCTTGTTGGTTTGTATGTAATGAAGGGAAGAGTGAAACATTTTAGGCAGCAGTAGCAATTCTGTTACCTGTGGAGAGGTCATTCCCTTATAATCCAAACAATGAATGAGACTGCATTGACTGAGAGGAATTCATGCGTGTTTGACTAGAAAGCCAGGTAAGAACTGTCAGTGGGAACCAAAAACCTGACCCTGGAGGGTTCAATGAGTCACTCTGGATGTCACTAATCATGGCCTTGGAATTACAAAAGGTGAATGGCCCAGTTACCTTTCTTGTCTCAGAAAGATACTGCCAAGAATCAGGAGTGGGGGACAGAATTGAAGACAGATTTAGGAATAAGGGGAATCCAAGGAAGGGAAAAGAAACTTTCCTGCCTCAGTTCTAAATGTAGGCTGAAGCCTCCTCCTCCTATGTGGGCTTCTCCCTATAGCTTTGGATGGAATGGACTGGGCTGGGGAAGTGAAGGGAAGGGAGATGTCCAGGCTGACAAGGGTCCCACCTTTAGTAACACAATAACCTCCCCCAACTCTTCCAGGGATCACTGCTAAAGAATGGGGACTCATGTCATCCTCACTGTAGATATGTTAATGCTCCATCTCTAGTGAAAGCTTTCTTTCCCTTCGCATGAGTGAGACATTAGCAGAGCTGACCCTCCGGAGCCATGTTTTACTCTATAGCAAGCTTGTTCAACATGTGGCCCAGGACAGCTCAGCTTTGAATGCGGCCCAACACAAATTCATATACTTTCTTAAAACATTTTGAGACTTTTTTGTGTGATTTTGTTGTTGTTATTGTTGTTCATCAGCTATCATTAGTGTTAGTGTATTTTATGTGAGGTACAAGACAATTCTTCTTCCAATGTGGCCCCAGGGAAGCAAAAAAATTGGACACCCCATTCTATAGCTAAGGAATCTAAAGTTTCAGAGTCCTTCCCTGCACAGACTCACCCAAGGCATGGGAGGAGCCCCAGCAATGTGTTAACGCAATTGTAGGCTTTTGTAAAAGTTTGACAAAATATATTTAAATGGTAATTGGTTAAGATTGAGGTCTCCTAGATGACAGGTTGACCGGGGCAGCAAACCACCATGGCCCATGTATACCTATGTAACAGACCTGGACGTTCTGCACATGTAACCCAGAACTTAAAGAAAAATTTAAAAAAAGAGAAATTTTTGAATCTTAATTTTTATTCTGCAATATGGATGTAGAAGTCAGTAGAAAAACCCAGCATATTAATAATTTCACATTTCTTGACTAACCTCAAACTTAAATGAGCTAAAGTTTACTTTTTTTTTTCCTCCTCTAGTTGCTTTCACACTTTTAAAGATAGTAACCAAATTATTCCTCTGAGACATTTCTGGTAAGATGTATATCTTTACTGTTGGATTGTTTAACAAACAATTAAGCCTAGAAGTTATTTGAGTACATAAAGGTGTAAGAATGATACAATGGAATTTTGGGACTGGGGAGTTGGGGGGAAGAGTGGGAGGGGAGTGAGGGATAAAAGACTACACATTGGTTGCAGTGGACACTGCTCAGGTGATGGGTGCACAAGAATCTCAGAAATCCCTACTAAAGAACTTATCCATGTAACCAAACACCACCTGTTCCCTAAAACCTATTGAAATAAAAAAAAATTTTAAAGGCAAAAAAGAAAAAAAAAGATTGAGGTCTTTTTCATTTATGATTTCACCTCTATCACATGTCTCCTTTTGTCAGGTGGCAATGGAAAAGCCATGGACATTTTGGGATTGGCAATGGGAGTTGGGAATACATTTTTTTTTTTTTTGAGTCAGGGTCTCACTCTGTCCCCCAGGCCGAAGCGCGTTGGTTCAACCATGGCACACTGCAGCCTTGACCTCGCCAGGCTCACGTGATCCTCCCACTTCAGCTTTCCAAGTAGCCCGGACTACAGGCACACCGCCACAGCTGGCTAATTTTTTGTATTTTTTTGTTGCCCAGATGGGTCTCAAACTCCTGAGCTCAAGCAGTCTGCCCACCTTGGCTTCCCAAAGTGTTGGGATTACAGGCATGAGCCACTGTGCTGGGTGGCAATACATTTAGTGTGGGTTTAGTAGGTATACTTAAGTGATTTGCAGTTACTTCTGTGACTAAATTATCCCCATGTAGTTATAATGTTATGAACTGAACTATATCCCCCCAAAAATTCATGTTAAAGTCTTAACCCCTAGTATTTCAGAATGTAACCGTGTTTGGAGATAAGATCTTTAAAGAGGTAACTGTGTTAAAATGAGGTCTTTAGGATCCGGGCGCAGTGGCTCACACCTGTAATCCCAGCACTATGGGAGGCCAAGGCGGGAGGATCACTTGAGCCCAGGAGTTTGAGACCAGCCTGAGCAACACAGCGAGACCCTGTCCCCTGTCTCTACAGAAAATAAAAAATTAGCCCAGTGTGATGATGTGTGCCTGTAGTCCCAGCTACTTGGGAGACTGAAGTGGGAGGATTGCTAGAGCCCAGGAGACTGAGGCTTCAGTGAAACATGATCGCACCACTGTTCTCCAATCTGAGTGACAGAGCGAGACCCCATCTCAAAATAAAATAATAAATGAGGTCTATAGGGTGGATTCTAATACAGTGTCACTGGTGTCCTTATGAGAGGAAATGTGGACACAGTTGTGTACACAGAGCAAAGAGCGTGTGAAGGCACAGGGAGAATATAGCCGTTTAGAAACTAAGGAGAGACCTCAGAACAAAGCAACTTCCCCAACACCTTGATCTTGAGCATCTGGCTTTCAGAACTGAGAAAATAAATTTGTTGTTCAAGTCACCCAATCTGTGCTATTTTGCTATGGCACCCCTAGTAAACTAATACGCATAGCTTCCAGAAATAATGTCACCAATTCGAATAGTATATGGCATTAGTTATTACAAATTTGAAACACTACGTTTGACAAAAATCCTAAAAAGTTGTGACATTATCACTTACAAGGTGCGAAGATAAAATTTTTGTAAATTATCAAGAATTTTTAAAATGTGGCCTGGTACGTGGCTCATATCTGTAATCCCAGCACTTGGGAGACTGAGGCAGAAGGATCACCCTGGGCAACACAGCGAGATCCTGTCTCTCTCTCTCTCTCAAAAAA